ATGGCGTCCACCAAGGTAACACCTGATGTCCCGTACTCCACGCGCGGTCAATCGTCATCTTCCGCTAATCGTGCCCTCCCGCCCACCTCCCCATGCACACATCAGAGTCTCTATCGGCCCAAGGAAATCGTGGCCCTACAGGTGTCGCTGACCACCTTGAGCCACGGCCCGGTACGCTCTCGCGCCCATCCCACACCGCCCTCTGGGCTCAGCCCGCTGACGATCGTCCCAACCGCCCGCGCAGGAGTCGGCGCCCAGCGCGCTGGAGGTGATCACGTTGCGCTCGCTGCCGCCCGAGGACGCCACCGCGAAGAAGGCGGAAGCTGTGGAACCTGCTGAGGGCGAAGTGGGCGTAGCAGTGCGCGAGTTTCCCGACCCCCGCGTGGCCGTGCAGCGCGTCAACTGGAATCCCAACCTGCCAGCCTCGGGGTGGCTCCTCTCTGGCACCACCTCAGGCCTCCTCCATGGCCTCCTCCTCAACCAAACCGTCCTCTAATCTCATGTGTGCGCTGGTACCCTTCCACTACGTTTGGAATGCCAAACGTGCCTGTTACTTACCAAAAAACAAGCGAAACTTACCAAATATAGATTTCCAAGCCTGATGTTGGTGAAGGGGTAGCGCCTACTGCAAGAATAAGAAGAAGAAGAAACGGGAGTGGAGGACGAAGGGCATGAGATGCCTTGGGCATCGGTCTCTTCATTGTACTCCCGATCCCTTAGCTCGTTATCATCCTGATCTGGGTCTGCAGTGCTGCCGCGGCGCCAAAGCTCGTGGTGCGTATGCAACGCTGAGGGGCGATGCTCTGGCGCAGATCGGAGCGATGCTCTCGCTCAAGGCCGCTGGCATGGCCAACCTTGGGGTGGAGCAACGTGTACTTCCTGATCCGATTCGCCCAGGTCTGCAAGGCCTTCATCTGCGACAGCACCAACTTACATTCCTCTTGATGGCCTGGGCAAAAGGCTCACTGGCTTTTGGGGCTGGTGCAGGTGTGGATCTACACGACGTCGGCTGCTCCCAATGGCGTGCAGCTGCTGATCGACGCTGAGATAAGGTCCGCAGGTGCAGGTGCAGCTGAGCACGGTGGGAGTGCAGCCGAGTTGGCAGCAGGGCCAAGTGTGTCGTGCCTCAACCGTCTGCCTTATTCCCATCGGCGACATTGCCAACGGCGTTGGTCAGGGCTTCGTTTCCGCTTTCCAGGTTTGCTCTCACCACCTTCTTCTTCTTCGGCAGCAGCTCACCCGAATGTTGGGCGAATCAAACCGACATGACGGCGGTCATCAACCAAGCTCAGGAGTACCTCAACGACATCTACACTGTCCCAGTTCCACATGGATCTGTTGCTCGAAGGCGGCTTTGGCCTCTTCGAGGGTCCCTTCCTGCAGCGGCAAGCCGACTAACCCCAATCCGTTCAAGTTCTCCAACGCCAGGCTTCGCATGGACTACACTTTCTTCCAGCTAGACCACCACGTGAGCCCGCCCATCCAGCCCTCCATAGGTCTGAACTCTCGAAGTCTCTGGAACGTTACGAATGCTGACCCCGCTCCATACACAGCTGGCGGGCGCATGGCAGAGCGGGCGAGCCCAACGCACCAGCTGCATTCGGAGTCAACTTTGCCTTTTTCCTTGACGGCACCTTCACGCAAGCGGGCCAGCCCAACCGGCGCCCCACTTTAAAGTGTCGTTCAACCCGCCGGGCCAGTTCATGCTTGTGCTCACGCCCTATATGATCCAGACCGCTCTGTGGGCTCTGCAGCAGAGCGGTGAGTTCAACCACACGATCGGACATCCGAATCCCTACGTGCAGCTGAGCACCAACAGCCAGTTCTTCCCGCAAGTGGCGCCCGGGCTCTATTCCCCAACATGGACACATCTGCATCGACACTTGGCTGCAGACCGTGCTCCAGCCTACTATCTCATCAACTGGTGCACTCTCTTTGTTCACCGTGTTTAAAGGCGATAGTGAAGAAGAGCGAGCTAACGGACCCACACCTTCAGCGATCACTGTGAATGGGGTGCTCGGAACGACTCTCATCCTCTCAGCCTACGCCCAAGTATCCCATTCCGCCCTTTCTCATCCCCACGCCCACTGGTACGCTGGCCTTCCGCCATAGACCGATGACGGTCGACGACGGTGAGAGCTAACGTGTGAGGTCCGGCCGCTCCAGGCTTCACCGTGTCAAGGGCGATGGCTACAGCGGGATCTCGTGCAACCTGGTCTACACCTCGCCCACGGCAGTGCTCCAACGGCCTGCTGTGCCCAGAGAACACGGCCAGTGCTGCCCCAATTAAAGCGAATCTGATCAACGCTCGATGTTGTTAGGCGAATGGTCACCATGCCCACCACCACGTCAGCGCCAGGCCACGTCATCAAGGAGGAGAAGAAAAGGAAAATAGAACCTTACTTGCCACATACGCCCTACCTTGCACACCGGTGATGGAAGACGTTTACAACTCAGCCTGGCTGAGCGCCACGACCAGTGTTGTGGCGCTGGCAGTGGCCCTGCTGGCCTGGCGGTTCTGGTGCCGGCCAGCCCCCTCTTCGAACAAGCCGCTACACGTTCCCCACGAGGGGGTGGCTGCCACCCTGCCCGATGAGATTCTGCTGCTGGTCTTGTCCTTCCTCGACCGAGGCCAGGATCTTGCAGCCGCCGGCGCAGTTTGCTCCCGTTGGTCTCAAGGTACCCCCTTGCTAACTTTTTCTATGTTCAAGTTGTTATCCAATATTTAATTCCAAATAAATAAATATCTTTGCATTATTTGTTCAGTTGCCAACGACGACGGCTTGTGGGGGAAGCTCATGCACCGCCAGTTCCCTGATTCACCTCTGTTCACGGCTGCCGGCGATAGCAGCAGCCCATCGGGCTTGGCGGTGGCGTCGTTGCTGCAGTGGCGTGGCGCGCACCACTTCCCGGCACACATTCGTGCGGAGGTCAAGCACGTGACACGACTGGCCAGGAAGCCGGGCGTTATCGCATGGCGCACGCTCGTCGCCATCGAGGCCAAGGCCGCCGCGGGCGGCTGCTTTGCGTCGCCGAGACGCAGAGCCGGCGACGCATCGCCCCGGCTTTGGAAGGCGCTCAAGCGCACCGCGGTCGGTCTGGGCCTCGCCCCGTGTCTTCGACGTCGTTGGATCCTCGCCGGGCTAGACAACGTCGGTACGCCTATAGACGCCCATGCTCCGCCACACGACGAGGCTAACTTCTCTGTGTGTGCGGTGGTGTGTGCGTGTGTGCGTGTGCGTGCGTGTGTGCGGGTGCGTGCTTGTTTGTTTGCGGTGATGGGTGTGCCTGGCTCGACACCGCGCAGGTAAGACGACGTTGATGTACGTTGTAAAGTCTGACCGACTGGCGCTGTTTCCGCCGACCTTACACCCGGAAGTTGAGGAGGTGACGATCGGTGACCAGCGCTTCGAGATGGTGGATCCCGCCATAATGTGGCGAAGGCAGCGTGCGAGGTGCAGAACGATGCAGGAATACGCCCACCACGGGCACGGCCTAATCTTCCTGGTCGACGCCTGCGACCCCGAGCGATTCGCCGAGGCCAAGCGAGACCTTGACGTACGTCTCATTTTTCCAACTCAGTTCTATGCCCTCAGTTCGATCCGGTCTCTCACCCCAATGTGTGGTAACCTACTGAGCAGGAGTTGATCAAGTGGCACATGCCCGTCCTCGTGTTGGGCAACAAGATCGACAGGCCGAACGCGGTCAGCGAAAAGACGCTCAAGACAGCACTCGGACTCGACTACTGCTGTACTGGCAAGGTACGTGTCCCTCGCGAGCGTGCTTTGATCATCATCAACGGCGGCGTGTGGCTCATCGCGCCGACTCATCGTCACAGGAGCCGTGGCAGCTCAAGATGGGCGTGCGGCCATGCGAGGTCTTCATGGTCAGCATCGTAAAACGCAGCTACACGCCAGGCCTTCTGTGGTTAGCGGCGCACTGTCGTAAGCTGTCTATTTATTCGAATATTTTCAAAATATTCATTTTCCCTTCCCGTTAACCAACATAAATAAATGGGCCGAGCGAAAGGAGAGAGAGTTTCTTTCACACCAGCAACCTCCTTCAAAACACGCAACAGATGAGGAACTGGTTCACTTCGGCTGCGAGGGCAATGGAGACAACAACTTCGAGTTCTTCGCCTGCGACACCTCGTGACGTGTCCTCTCTGCTGGCCGGACCCATGAAGCGCCACGAGTGCCCGGCATGGCGTGCGCCATCGTGTGGCGAGGCCGCGTGACGGCGCAGGGCGTGCTGGGGGTGCGAAGGCAGGGCTCGCCCCAGCCCGCCACCCTGGGCGACCGCTGGCACCTGGGCTCGTGCACCAAGGCCATGACCGCCACCCTCGCCGCCATACTCGCCAACGACGGCGTGATCAGCCTCGACACGCCCATCACCGAGGCCCTTGCCGACCACCTGGCCACCACCCGCGTCGACTCCGCCTGGCGCCACGTCACGCTCAACATGCTGCTGCACAACCGCGGCGGCGCGCCGCAGGACATTCCGGCCGATGACATGCGCGCCTGCTGTGCTGGTGGCCTTAGTCCGACCGAGTCGCGCCTGGAGCTGGCCAAGCGCATACTGGCGCGGCCGCCCGCGGTCGCGCCCGGCACCAGCCACGTCTACAGCAACGCCGGGTTCGCAATGGTGGGCGCCGCGCTCGAGCTCCGCACCGGCACGGCCTGGGAGCGGCTGATGCAGGACTCCCTGTGGGCGCCGCTCGGCATCACCACCGGCTCGTTCGGTGCGCCAGGCACGTCAAGTGGTGTTGACGCCCCGCACGGCCACACCGAGTCCGACTGCCGGCCGGTCGCGCCCGGACCCGGCAGCGACAACCCGGCGGCGATCGGCCCGGCCGGCACCGCAGCGATGACCGTGCGGGACTGGGCGCGCTTCGTGGCGCTGCACCTCGACCAGGGCAGGGGCGCGACGGCGCCGCGTCTGCTGTCGCCAGAGGCCTTCAAGCGCCTGCACTGGCCACTGCAGGGCGATGAGGCCGCCTACGCGATGGGCTGGGTGGTGTCGGAGCAGCCGGGCTGGGGCGGCCGATGCCTCACGCACAGCGGCGACAACACCCTGTGGCACTGCACGTCGTGGCTCGCCCCGGAGAAGGAGTTCGCACTGCTCGTTGCGACCAACCGCTCTGGCGCCTCCGTCGCGTGCAACGACGTGGTGCTGGCGCTGATAGGGGACCACCGCACGCACGAGGGCGCCTCCTCATTGTAGTAGTTGGCCAACTACTGAAGTAAAAGTTGATTTCTTTATGTCCCCTCCTGTTTCTGCCTCCTCCACAGCTTTGTCCAACCCAAAAGGTGCGGCCTTAGGCCTGGGCGGTTTCGCCGAGGGTCATGTCCTCGCCGAGCCTGTCCATCTCGTCGAGCACGAAGAGCGCGTCCTCGAACGTCTGCTCGGGATTGCTAAAAGATTGGAAGAAAAAGAACGAAGACGAAGGTCAAAAGAACGAAAGACGACGAGTGGGAAAGAGCGGGGGGGGGATGAACGTACGCCCACACAATACGCCAGTGGTTCGGCACGAAGGGGAAGTTGGGGAGCGACTCCGACAGGGGGTTGTAGTTGACCAGCATCGAGCCAGCGAGCTGGATCTTGCGGCGGAGCATGGGCACGTACTTGCCGCACAGCTCGTCCCTCTCCTTGCTCTTGGGCATATCGCGGATGCACTTGGGCAGGTAGCTGCATGTGTGTGTGTGTGTGTGTGGTGTCGGAGGTGGTAAGCCGCAAAGTGTCAACTATGTTAGTTTGAGTGGTGGCAGCGTACAAGAAGCAGACTTGGGTGCACTCGGGCTCGAAGAGAAGCTCGAACTTGTCGCTCCTCTTCTTGAGCTCCTCTGTGAAGTAGATCGCGTTGGCAAAGTTGGTGTCGACCCTCTGCTCCATGCCCTGTTGGGGGGGGGTAATCCGCAGGCGTGAGCGGCGCGGACGCGTGGAGAAGGGCTGAAAGAGAGGAGGGGGGCAGTAGTGGTGGTGGTGGCAGTACCTTGTCGCCGTGGACCTTCCACGAGAGCCAGGCCTTGAACGAGTCCTGGTGGCGACCGCAGTTGAGCGTCTTCTCGCCCAGATCGTACGGCCTCGTGTCATCAAAGTGGAACAGGTAGTCCGCGTGGCTGGCGTTCACCTTTTTCTGTGGGTGTGTCATCACAGCGTGCGTGCGTGTGCGTGTGTGCGGTGACGGCGTCAGGCTTGGCTGTGCGCCGGGGGGGACTGAGGAATGAAGAAAATGGCATACCAGGAGGTGGCTCTCCTTGGTGAGGAAGGCGGCGCACTGCTGGTTGATGCCCATCATCTTGTGCAGGCACCAGGTCACCGAGTCGGCGCGCTCGACGCCGGCCATCTTGTGACGCCACTTCTTCGACACGAGCACGCTACCGCCCCACGCGCCGTCGACGTGCAGCCACACGCCGTGCTTCTGGCACACGTCCGCAATCCCGTTCTGTTCGACAGCGTCCGCATTATTGTCAGCACTCGCTCATTGTGTGTGTGTGTGGCGCGCGCGCGCGTGCGGAGTTGCGCAGAGACGTACGAGATCCTCGAACACGCCGAGCACGGTGGTACCGCAGGTGGCGTTCACGCAGAAGGGAGTGAGACCCTCCGCCTTGGCCTTGGTGATGGCCTCATCTAAACAAATAGTTGAAATATTCACGAATTAATAAATAAAATTGTAATTAAAAATGAAAAACTGAGGGAGTAGCTAACCAAGAGCCTGAGGGCTCATCTTGCCGTCGGCGTCGACAGAGACGTTGATGGCGGCATCGAGGCCCATGCCCATCATCCACGTGCTGCGCTTGATGGTGTAGTGGCTGTGCGCCGACGTGAAGGCCACCAGCTTCTTGCCCTCGGGATTGCCCGTCTGTATTTTTGAAACAACAGTTGTTTGCCGAGTTGAGATGAGCCAGCCGGCCGGCCCGCACACGACAAGAGCGCAGGCGACATTCAACGCCTTTCGCGTGCGTGCGTGCGTGCGTGCGTGCGTGCGTGCGTGGTGACGTACAGTCTTGGAGTCGGGGAAGAGCTTGTCGCGGGCGCAGAGCAGGCCCATGAAGTTGCAGGTCGCGCCACCGGAAGCCAAGATGCCGTCACCGCCCTAAAAGGCGAAGGTGGCCAGGTGAGCACTTCAACACCAACCGCGAATGAACCAGGGAAGAGGAGGAGGAGGCAGGAGTGGGCGACGAACCTCGTAGCCGACGAACTTGAGGAGGTGGTTGATGACCTCGATCTCCATGAGCGAATAGACGGGCGCCACCTCGTACGTGTAGGTCGACGAGTTGGTGAACGCCGACACCCATTCGGCCACGATGCCTAAAGGAGACACACAACACACACGACACACACGACACACACAACACAACACACGACACACACGACGCACGATTGCGGAGATTAAGCTTCTTTCGAGGAAATGCGAGAAAGCAGAGAGGAAAGCCGGCTACATGTAGCTGAGTCGATGACGTACAGGCGATATCGGTGCCAGACCAGAGCTGGTTGAAGTAGCGAGGCGAGCCGGTCCTGACGCTGTACTCGAGCACCTGCTCCAGGTACTTCTCGATGCCTGCTCGTACGAGCCCACGCACACAAAAAAACAGAGAATGTCCATCAATGAACGGTGTCGTGTGCGTGTGCGTGTGCGTGTGCGTGTCGACGAACACGAGAGGGCAGTCGTACCCTTGAGGTCGGATGTGAGACCGCAGCCCTCGGCGGGGAGAGGGAAGTCGATGATCTCCTTCAGCTTGTCGGGCGGCACGAAGTTGATCACACGCGTGTTGTCAAAGTCGTAGTGCTGGCCCACGTCTGTGCACGCCGCATTCCATAGAAGAGGCAAAAAAACGCGTTAGAACCGCTTTTACAAAATGATTTAAATAAAACAATTAAAT